ATCCAGCAATACCACTCTTGGGGATATACCCAAAAGACTGTGACACAGGTTACTCCAGAGGCACCTGCACAGACATGTTTATTGCAGCACTATTCACAATAGCCAAGTTATGGAAACAGCCAAGATGCCCCACTACTGATGAATGGATGAAGAAAATGTGGTATCTATACACAATGGAATTTTATGCAGCCATGAAGAAGAACGAAATATTATCATTTGCTGGTAAATGGATGGAATTAGAGAACATCATTCTGAGTGAGGTTAGCCTGGCCCAAAAGACCAAAAATCGTATGTTCTCCCTCAAATGTGGACATTAGAACAAGGGCAAACACAACAAGAGGATTGGAGTTTGAGCACATGATAAAAGCGAGAGCACACTAGGGAGGTGTGAGGATTAGTAAGACACCTAAAAAATTAGCTAGCATGTGTTGCCCTCAACGCAGAGAAACTAAAGCAGATACCTTAAAAGCAACAGAGGCCAATAGGAGAAGGGGATCAGGAACTAGAGAAAAGTTTAGATCAAGAAGAATTAACCTAGAAGGTAACACACATGCACAGGAAATTAATGTGAGTCAACTCCCTGTACAGCTATCCTTATCTCAACTAGCAAAAACCGTTGTTCCTTCCTATTATTGCTTATACTCTCTCTTCAACAAAATTAGATACAAGGGCAAAATAGTTTCTGCCGGGTATCGAGGGGGTCAAGGGGACAGGGAGGGGCCAGAGTGGGTGGTAAGGGAGGGGATGGGGGCAGGGGGTAGAAATGACCTAAGCAATGTATGCACATATGAATAATAAAACAATAAAAATTAAAAAAAAAAAACAAGCTAGGTGTGATAGCACATTACCCAGCAAGCACAGACAGGATGATCATGAGTTTGTGGCCTAGGAAAAATTAGCATAAGACTGTATCTGAAAAGTTAACTGAAAAAAGAAATATGGAAAACGACTGGGGGTCAAGGGTCAAATATAGAGCACTTGCCTAGCAAGCATAAAGCCCTGAGGTCAATCCTTAGTACTGACAAACACACACACATAAAAGACTACTTAGTGTTCTACCATATGGATCTATCATAATTTAAACGTCTTATGTTTTTAAAAAAACAATTTTGTGGTACTGGGGATTGAACCCAGGGCTTCACACTTGCCAGACAAGTGCTCTACCACATGACCTGCGTCCTGGTCCTTTCATTTTGAGTATCTTTTTCAGATAGGATCTAATACTTTTACCGCAACAGCCTAAAGTTCCAATTGTCCACCTCTGCCCCCCGTAGCAGAGAATACAGTTGGGTGTCACCACTCCTGGCTATTTACTGCTATATGGTGAGATTCATGATAATGGGGAAAATCAGATTTCACTTTCTTCCCATACTGGGTTACAGATTCTGAGGGGAAGGAAAGTATATGACACTGGGGTACCAATAAATATTTTTGAATGAATGAATAAATATGGTAAGGAGAGCTCTTGTTGTCCTTTGATAAACTATCATATACTTGTTTCTGGCCCTTGTTCTGGCATCAGATTTGGTGGCAGGACACATTCAGTGACCCAGATGTATTCTACCACCCTTTCCCTATGAATATAATCACTTCATAGAAAACTACTTCATTTAAGAAAACACATGTTCAATTCATGAAGTATTTCTGTGGAATCACATTACATTTAAAGCTTTGAGTTTTCACCAGTAGTTTGAGCTTTTAATTTAATAATTAATGCTGACATGATGTGAAGGCACATGGGATTAATTACACTACTCTATTTCTACATATTTGAAATTTTACACGTTGAAAAGTTTTTTTCTTAGTTGTTTATCAACATATTTGTAGTTAGTGATAGTTTATTTTCAGATTCATAGAGCCAAGGTAACATTACATCCAATAGAAAATCAATGAGAATTTATTAGGTAATACCTACAGTGGGCTTTCAAGCAACTTGGAGTAAGCAGCCATTTATTGCTAAAGGACAAATATGAGCATCTAAAGTCTTTTATCAGTTTTAAAAAAATTGTTCTTAGGTTGAAAAAGTTTAAACGAACATAGAAGTCTTTCAGCAGGAAAAGAATAGATAGCGTACAAGGAAAAAAATATACACTATGACTTGCCAGGTTCCCATTTAAAAAAAAAAAAAAGAGACTATCTAGTCCTTTCAAGAAGCATTTTGACTTTTCTTCATTAAGTATAAATTATTTTAAGTGGCATCTAGCCTCATTTCAGTCACCATTTGGATAAAGAAAAAAGAGTTCTTAATTAAAGAGCAGAAACTTCCAAACTATTAAGACAGATGACCTAAATAAGGTCTACCAGCATATTATACATTCACTTTTTAAACACTTCCCACACGTCTCTTCTTCTAACATATGTAAAAAATACTATTACTGCTTCTTTAAATTAAGAAAGCACTTTTTAACAAAAAGCAAAATCTCTGTATAGCAACATGTAAGTCAAATTATGAAAGCTGTTTAGGAAGTTTTCAAGTAAGCTTCTTTGGGCCCTGTGGGAGCAGAGTCATTAGCCCACTCACCTAGAAGAGATTTAACTATTCAGTAGAAAAAATGTACACTATTATGATAATGGTAGGGACAGAGCTGTGCCCCAGTGAAACTCCTACATTGAAGCCCTAACCTGTGGGCCTTTAGTGGTAACTAATTTAAAATGAGGTCTTTAGAGTGGGCCCTAATCAAATCTGATACACTGTTATAATGGATATCAGGGATGTACACACACCAGGAAAGACCCTGAATGCACATAAGAGGACTGCATTCTGAAAGCTAAGCGGAGAAGACTCAGAGGAAACCAATTCTGCTGGCACCCTGATCTTGGACATCAGCCTCCAGAACTGGAAGAAATAAATTCTGTTGTTTGGCAAATGAGATTCCATCTCTGGCATTTTGTTGCAGCAGCCTAAACAGATTAAGGCAGAGAGTGTATAGATTATCTCACTAGTAACATGACCAAGAAAGAAGTAGTACTGCCCCCAGCTTTCACCTTGACTGCTCCTCTTGCCCCAGCAACCCTACTGCTTTTCCTCCTATAGGGAACTCTGAATATTGCCCTGTGACCTGATTTCTGTGATATGGGTAGCTTTCTAAAGTGGACCTATTTTATTATTGTGTTAAATTACTGTACATTGTAGAACTATACAGTAACTTATTTAATCTATCCCATGTTGATTGCTCCTTATGCTGTGTTTAGATTTAAAGGGTTTGAAGCAAGACATTTTCATAATATATTTTATAGGATAGCTAGATTTTAATTTATTTTGTTTTGTGGTACTAGGAATTGAAGCTAGGTCCTACAGTGCTAGGCAAGGGTTCTACCACTTGAGCCACACCCCCAGCCTTTTTGTTTGTTTGTTGTTTTGTTCTTATTTTGAGGCAAGGTTTCACTAACTTCGTTTGAGCTGGCCCTGAACTCTCGATCTTTGTGCCTCTACTTCCTAAGTAGCTGGGATTACAGGCACACACCACCACACCTGGCCTAGGATAATGTATGTGAAATAAAATTTCTATATCAAAGTATAATCACATTCATATTTTGACATATTGCCAAATAAGCATCGATTTACACTCCCACCAACATTTGGGGCTGAATAACACTTGTCAAAGTACCTTGCTTTATATCATTGGTAATTAGAAAACCAAACTTCTTTAATATGTTTGTAGTTATTGATTATATTTATATATTTGTTCCTTCTTTCAAAGTGGTGATTTTGAGATAGTTAGGTTGAATGACTCCAGAGAAATTTATGAAATTGCATTTATTTAACATATTTTCATTTCTATGGGTTTGCTGAAATTCCTAAAGATAGCATTACTATCTGGTAAAATTTGGCTTGGTTAGCACAAGCATCCCAGTTTGTCTTCTTAAAGAGCAAAATCCACTATCCATTTTATAGCATGGCATATAAACACAGGAAGACCTCACTTCTCAGGTAAATACAGGAGTTCCTGCCACTCTCATTTTTCAACCTGTACTCCCATTATGGAGCAAAAAAATACTCACAAAATGAAAACAGAAAACATCTGGAAAAGGGAATGAGGAGGAGTATAAGACACAAGGCCACAAAGCAAAAGCCAGTACCTATAGGTAGCCTGCAGCTTTTACACAGAGACTTTTTGAAGACTCCAAAACGTGCTCATCACTTGCTACAGACACACTAAAAATATCCCACCTCTGAAAGGAAAACTTAACTTTAAAGATCTGTAGGTTAATTCTAAATCTAGGAATTGTAAGAATTTCACAGATATATAAAACTTTAAAAAATTATCAATAAGGCCAGGTATGGTGGTGCACATCTGTAGTCTCTGCACTCGGGAGACTGAGGCAGGAGGATCCAAAGATTGAGGCCGGCCGAGGCTATGTAACAATTTCCAGCCTAGCCTCAACTACATAGTAAGACCTGGTCTCAAAACCAAAACAAAACAAAAATCAAAGAAAATTATCAATAAAATTAATAATTAGCACTTAAAACAAGGCTGCTTAAACTTTCCCTTTCTTTTCCTGGTGAACATTAAATGTCCTATGGCAAAGAAAGAAAATGCCATATTGCTGAAAATAATTTCTGACCCAGTAATAGTCATTTATGCTCCTGAAGTTCAAATCCTATTATGTTTTAATTCATGCTTTTTATTCTTTGTGCTATGTGACCAGCTAAGAAATACTAACTTAATATGTGTTACTTGATTGTCATGTAATAGTCTACTAAAACTATTTTTATAAGACGGATGAAAACAGAAACAGACAGATTTTTTAATAACACACCACTTGGACAAGAATCTTGATGTGTTTGTTACCCTTTCACCCCAAATCAACAAAACTTTGCTGCCAGAAGTACAAACAAGCCATCAGAGACAATTCAGTGCTTCTGTTACATAAAACCTATATCAAATCCTGGCATTATTCCCCTGGCATATCTCTATAATAAAGTGACAAAAATGTTCCTGTTCTCTGGTGAGACAGACTCATACCTGGTGGCTGCTAGAATAGTTCTTTGCACTCACCAAGGAGGGAAGATATGAATGATGTCTTGGGGATGACCCCTGAGGTATCCTGCCGTCTCCCAGGTGAAAAGAACCTTCAGGTCAGCATCAGGTCTGGACATCACACTTTGGGAAGGGCTGACAGATGGCGGCCCCCCTAACTGCTCACACAAGGCAACTAACATGGTGCATTCCTCATGCAGTTCTAGAATTTTCACAATTAATATGCCAGAATTTTCACCTAGAAGTTGAACAAAAGAACAAAAGTAAAAATAAATTCCTAAACATAGATGATTCAGGCATGAATAAAGTTTCTTTGTAGAAAAAAAAACTGCATCCACATACATTTCTGTACTTGGAGAAAATATTATGCACATATTTCAAGATAAAATATAAACTATTATGCTCACGGCAATATCTCTCTATAATCAAAATAGGCTTGTATGTTGCATTTAATATATATATTTTGTGCAATGAAAAACAAATAGTCTTCTATGACAAAGAAACAGTTGTGTATGTGGAAACCTCAGACTCATTATTTCAGAGCATGTTTTTACTCCCAAACTTGAACCTTTTGGATGACCACAAGAAAGGAAACATGGCTACTGTTTGGTATTTCTTTTTTATATTCCCGCCTCCTACTTATTACCTGCTTTGATTCTGTTTAAAATCATGTAGATTACTCACTGGCTACAACCATTTAAATGACCATAAAGGTTAAAACTTGAGAATTTACATGGATTGCTGGGTGACAGAGCTCTGGATTTAATGGATGGAATCTGATCTGAATTCAAGTAACAGCTGTCTTACTAAGTTGCCCAAGTTATGCAGTATTTCAACCCTTCAGTTTTCTCATGTATTAAATGGAGATCATGCCACCTGCCTCAGTTAACATTTGTGAGAATTAAATGACATAAATGAAGGTGAGTGTGCATAGCTTATAGCCTGGAAGATATAGTCATGACCTGCACCAACAGACCTAAATAAAGATGCACATGTCAGTAGTGTAGAAGCAGAAAACAGAACCAGTATTGTAAAAGCAGAAAACATGATCAGTATAAATGAGGAAGATGGAGCGTTCACACCACAGAACACGACACAGCACTTCCAGTGAGTCAGTACATCTCTATGCAACACATGGTTAGATCTCAAAAACAAGATACGATAAATAAATATAGAGTGTATGACATAATATAATTTAAGAACACAGAAATCAATACAGCATTGTTATACATATACGCCATACAAGGAAAGCTGATGATGTTAGCTTCATGGGAGAGTACTTGCCTAGCATGTGTGAGGCCCTGCATGGCTCAATCACCAGCACTGTGGGGGGCTGGGGGGTGGGGGGAAAGATACACTACATGGCATGACATCCCACATCACCAAAAAACCCCAAAATCGTCCTGATTGTTTTGAGTTGGGTGTGGTGGCTGGCACTTGTAGTCTCAGCTACTCAGAAGGCTGAGGCAGGAGAATCATGACTTCAAGACCAGCCTGGGCAACACAGGCAACAAAGAAAGAGGCTGTCTTAAAAACAAAGAAAGAAAAACAAACAAACAAAAAAACACAGAGTAGAAAAACACAAGAAAAGTCATTTTAGCCTCTGCCTCTGAAGAGACAGAAAGAAGAATGTGAATCAGAAGGGGGGCTAGGGGATTTCAAATTCATCTGTCTATTGTTTCTTTTATAAAAATATGTGACTCATAAGACAAAAGGTTAACATATGTGATTATTTCTAGATGGTGGACACAGGTATTTTTCTATCAGTTTCTGTGCTTTTTACTTTTAAAAATAAATGAATTTGATGAAAATAATAAAAAGTTGCTAATAACAAATACTAAGTTTCTCCTCCACTGCAGCCAAATGGTTAACAGCAAAAAATAAAATTTAGATAGTGGTAAGCTTTTGGTTATACAGCTTAATATCATTTTCCTCTCTTTCTCCTGCTTACTTTTGCTTCATTCATTTTCACTCAGACCCAATCTTTCCATTCCTTCTTTGGTGAAAGTGCCCACAGCATAGGTCCACATGCTGAGCTAGGCAACACACCTCCCCAGAGCATTGCCCTGGACAACCTTTTCTCAAGGTATGCAACAGGCTTGCTGCACTTTCTTGAGGAGAGGAAGAACACTGAGTGGGAAAGGTATGAACAAGCACAATGTTAAATTGTTACTAGACACTACATGGGAGATAATGGAGGTGCAAAAACAAGCATCTAAAGACAAGCACTGACTAGGAGATGAACATACCATAGCTCTGCAGCAGCAGATGTGACTTTAAAAAGAGCTATTGGGTGGATGGGAAAAGAAGTCAGGATCATCTGGAGGTCATCTGACACATACTTTTCCTAGGCAGGGTAGCTAGAGCAGTGGTTGGACAATTTGAGTCTTTGGAAACAATGGGAAAAGTCCTAGTATAGGAGCTGCAGTGGCTCTAGACACATATGTACATATTTTCAGTATTATTACAATTTGTGTCTGTACTAGGAGCTCATGCCTAACACTGTGAAGGCCTGCTGTCTACTCTGTATCCTGCTGATAGCAACTATTATCCAGGGTTCCACAGCCCCTTGCATTTTTGAGCATCCGCCACCCTGCTTCAGTTAAGGTGACCCTACAGAGCACAGATTCTAGATACTTTGCTCTGCAGTATTTTCTGTTCAGTCCTCAGGCATGAGTAGTTGCCTGCCCAAGCAGCAAAAGTCCTCCCTGCAGATACTCATTGTTTTGGTGGCTTGGTTTAAAAGTGTTTCAGTAGTCTGTCCCAGCCTTTGAGGCTACAGAGACCCAGAGTTTTTTTAAAATGAAGGAAGGTATTACAGAAACACATAAATAATATTACAGTAGAAATACTTATGTATCTAAAAAGGTCCACACTGACTATGGTTTCTCTGAAGCCCATTATGCTAAATCCCGACAATATCTCCATACACTTAAATTCCACTTTAGATCTGTAGCACCAAATACCTTGTAGAATAAATAAGTTACTTCATAATATTGACTATCACCACAGCACTTTACACCACAGCTTGGTTGGTGAATGAACAGGTTTGGGATGCTGTGATGAGTAACAACAGTAGAAAGGGATAGTGCCATTATCTTTTCCTCTAGGCAGGGACTCTCCGGAGCCCTGGGGAGAAACCAGCAGGCCTTACCAAAAGAAAATGAAGCACTGTTAAATTCCGCTTTTGCCTGAGGGAGAAGAAACTTGGGGTAAATTATGTCAAATTATGTGCTTAAGGCAAACTTCTAATCCAAGCACAAGAGATACTCATTTTACAAATAAAAAAGACTACTTTACAATTAGATGAATGGTACATAAAAAGCCATTTTTGCCCCATTTTCCATAAATGCTGCAATACTCAGCGAAAATATCACCTCATCTAGGAAGTGTTTCCCAAACCCCCAGTAGATACAATTATTCCTTCCTTTAACATCCACAAATAACTTTTCAGTATTTATCTCTTTAATGAGAGCCTCATTTTCAAAAGAATATGGTACTAGCTAACCCCAAGAACAATACAATAACATGGGAAGCACATGGCACAGCATCTGGCCCACCAAATGTGCAATAATGACAGACAGCCGCTGTCACGATCATCAGTTTTTCAAGGCATTTGAAGTAGATTCTCTTAGTCACTCTATAATAATCCTACAAAAGAAGTAAGGAAGATATCAGTCTCTCTCTTTGACAGATCAGAAAACTGAGAAATAAAGTAAGTTGATCACAGCACATTTTAAGGACAGAAAGGATATTGGCAGGCTTAATCTGAGTATTCTTATAAATTGATAGCCAAAATTTCTCTTGGGTAAAAACTAATTAGAAATAGGAAATTATAAGTGACATTTTTTCACCTCTATTTCATGATGCTAAAACACAGGGCTTATTTAAAATGTAACAGAGTCATTTCCAGGTTGACAAATGGCTCCTTAAGACCTATGGCTATGGCTAGACCCAGCTACGATTTCAATAGAACTTGCAATGACAACTTGTCAAGTACTAAGTGCCACACAATGTACACACATGTAAGTAAATGTAAAAATGATAAAATAAAAAGAGAAAAAAGAAAGCACTAAGTGCCATGAAGATCAAAGGGAAAACACAAATATCAATATACAACAGCAATGACCTTAAATGATTAACAATGATACAGAGTCATATAGAAAATGCACCAAAAGATCTAGTAATCCTATCCATATTTACAATTAGCAGATGAAATAGCATTCTTAGTTAAAAGTGCACAGTATTTAACTTAAAGGCTAACATTTTCAGAATGAATGAAGCAAGGAGTGATTTATTTTGTCAGCTAAGTGCTCCAAAAAAAAAAAAGCCTCTGATTTTAAAAGACCAAGAGGCCATAAAAATCTAAGTGATAAAATCTATTTGTGATTATTAAGCTCTATGACTTATTTGAAATTTGAAATATACAAGTAGCCAAGGTTGGTTTTCATGCAAGTGAACTAAAAAATTTCTCAAGTGGGTTATGTTGAATTAGCATATATTATGAGGATAATAAATGGTATATGAGAAAGGACAAAGTGAAGCAAGTCAGGACATGAGGAGAGAATTTGTAATCATTCTCCTATAAACAACAGGAACTTCTGTAGTTCTCACAGAACTACTGCTCATTTTTTTGGCGAAGTGGGAGGAGACAGTACTGGAGTTTGAATTCAGGGCTTTGTGTTTGCCGGGCAGGTGCTTTACCACTTGAGCCATACTACCAGCCCTTGGAAAAGAAAATCAGATATGAATGAAAAGAAGAGAACAGACAGGTCTATGGCACTGTGTGTAGAGTTGGGTATTTCTTAAGCGATGAAAAGCCAAAAGGTAAGGGAAATGATGAACTGTGCTGAGAACAAACTGAAGAGGGCAAGGGAAGAAGCAGGAGGACCAATTAGGAGAGTCCTGCAGGAGCACTTGAGGAGAGATTAAGATAGATGAGAGCAGGGAGAGATGGAGAGAGGAGAAATGGTCAGATACTAGAGATTCCTTGAAGGTAGAGTTAATAGAACTTGTCCATAGACTAGGAGCAGACATGAACAAGACAGTCAAGTATGACTCCAGTGTTTTTCGCCTGAGCAAGAATAAGAATAGTATTAACATTTATTAAAACAGGGAAGATTTCTAGATGAATAGGTTTCTTTCCTGGAGGGTAGACAGTGGGAGAATTCTGATATGAAGACATCAGTTTCAGATATACTAAGACTGAGATTTTTCTAAGTTATTTCAAAATCTGGC